TTTTCTCAACAAGTGGTATCAGAGACAGGTTTTAGGGCAAGGAAGAAATTTCGTCAGCGCGAGGAAGAAGCTTTAGCGGTTTTTTCGGACTCGGCGATCTCTGTCGAAGGAGAGGGAGTTCGCGGCTAGGAGAGGCTCTCGATCGCGCGGCGGCTAAGGGAGACGGATCGCGAGCGAACAGGAGGGACAGTAGCTTCCCGTTCGCGGCTCGGGAGGACGCACCTGGCGGGATCCCTGTTCGCACGAGAGGCGTGACGTTTGGGAATAGCTGATTTGCGACTGGAAGGTCGCAGAACTATAGTTCTTTTCGACGAGGAAGGAAAAGTTCGGCGGCTGTTGGAGGTGGCTGTGCAATTTATTTCCTTTTTTGGCCGAGTTTCACTTGCCAAAGCAGAAGATAGCAGGAGGCGAGAGATTCCCTTGGCTTCCTAAAGCGCGCAACTTCCTTTTCTGGCTGGAAAGGAAAACCAATTTTGGCGGAGAGAATCTTGGGTTTTTGCTGGGAGAGTAATTGGCGGATTGAAGGCTAAAATTGGAATGGAATATTTGCTTTGTGCCAAAGGAATATTCTAGTGCTGGAGGCTATTTCTAATTTTCATTGCAGGAGGCTTCCGAGATATTCGCGGCTTGGGAGTTACGAGATCGCAGCGGCTCAGGGAGGACGTGGAACAGGCAGGCTTCCCGTTCGGGTTGATGAAAGACATCCAGAAAAGGAAGGCGAAAGAATTTCCATTGTCGTTTGCTACGGATCTGGGAAGGAAAATATTTGCTCTAAACGGGAAATATTTACTCCATAATAAATATTCCCTTGCGGAGAAGGTCCGGAGAAGGAAGTAAAGTTTTTTGAAATTTGTTAATTAAAATTAATATTTTAATTAAGGGGTTCTTGATTAAGGAAGCTTAATCAAGAATATATTAAAATATATTTTAATTTTTTTTTCTTTTCAAAAAAAAAAAAAAAAAATTCTAAAGCATTTTGCAGAGATACCTTATCAGCAGATTATTCAATAAGTTGCGGCTGGCCCCAAAAGACTCTTAGGCTTCCCTTGGCTTTAAACG